AGAGTGTAGAACAGGGATTCTCAACTTTTCCTCCATCATTAACCCCCCTCGGCTTGATGTATTTCTCCATTTACCCCCTCCCTTACTTCCATACAAAAAATTCATAGCCATCATAAAGGGACAGAAAAACAAGGTCAGAAAAAAATATATTATTCCGCTTTTGCACACACACACATTCTTAGCATTCTCTCTCTCTCACACACACACACACACACATTCTTAGCATTCTCTCTCTCTCTCACACACACACACATTTTACAAAATGAAATTTAACTGAATTATTACTCAATCATCAGGTACATCAATTATTTACCCCCTGCCATGTAAATTTTTACCCCCAAGGGGTAAATTTACCCCTGGTTGAGAATCACTGGTGTAGAATATTATAAAATTGTGCAATGTCTCTACCTTAGACAAATAGTTATTGGTAAAGGTTATATTTGTTTGACCCTATTTTTGTATAAATGCACTCCTGGAGTACAATCATACTTAAGTTAATGGACTGTCAGAGACTTGTACCAGTTTGTGTGAGTTTGGATTTATCTTCCTTGAAAATTTATAAATTATCTTAAAGTAGGCAACCTTGGATTGTGGGATACTGCATTAGAACTTTGGTCTGACTTAAACAGTGTGGTATCGTGATTACTCATTTTCTTGCTTTTGTCTTGTGCAGACTTGAATAAATACTCTCTGCTTCAACAGCCAGAAGTCAGTTCAGTGTATATCAGAGGATAAACCAGCCAGTCAAGTTTCGAAGGTCAGAAAACCTTTTATTACAAGAATAATGACTTAATTTTTTTTTCTCCATATCTGATTTATTTTTTGCTTATCATTTATGGAATGTTTTGCTTATTGCAGCTCACTGATAACTCAGTACTAGAAGTCAGTTACTGAATACAGTGATATTGGAAATTAGTGATCTGAAATGAAGTATTTTATCTTTCTGTGAATTTTACAATAAATAAAAACATTAATTACTAAGGTGTCAATTAAATAAAGTTAACATTTCAATGAATTATACCACTGTGTCCATCATCTCTGACAACATGGAAAACACTAACAGAATAACATAGTTGGTGTAAGGTATATATGTAATTATGGTGAAATTGGTAAGATTCCTCCACCCCTCTCCCCAAAAGGTTTTTACAAACACATACATAATTTACACAGGAGTATGCTACACACTGCAAAGTGGAGCCACCACAGAAATTCTTTAAATGCAATATTGATTTCATTTTATTTTTTTATCAATGCAACAAAATGCATCTTTGTTACTTCCCTCTTAAAACAAACTAAAGTACTACATGCTCTTTGTTGCAAAGCATTCAACATTATGCCTAGAATGCCAAGTCTAAATGCTTGAAAGTTATTATCTGAATGAAATGTTAAATGATAAAAACTATACAAAATTCCCACTTTCAGCAAGCCAAAACAAAATCAACAAAAGTCAGATTTTATTATAAAAACAATGACATACCTTTCAGCAAGCCCAAACAAAACCGACAATAGCAAGTCAGATTTTATTATAATAACAATAACATACCTTAATCTGGATCTGTTCACTAGGGAATGGGCTTTCTTAAACAATCATCACAACTTTTTCTTTCTATAAAGAGTACATTATCAAATAGTAACCATGGCTTATTCATTTTTTTCACTAACCTGTATAATATAAGGAATGATGTATCCAGTTTTCAGACCCAAGAAGAGCCTACCCCAAGCTGCAGTCATGCATAAGATTCCAGAACCTAAGTTAATCTCTTGCAAACACTTACCACTCTGAAAAAGACTTCAGTTTTTATAAACAAAACACACTAGCAACAAACAGGAAAAGAAATTCTTAAAACCATTTATTTTTGTAACCAGAAACAAATCATCAACTTTTTGTTAGAAACACATCAGTAATCCAAGTTAATTAGCTAAAAAAACACTAAAAAATTAGTTAATGTTTATTTAGTAAATTCCATAAGAAATAGTTCTAAGGAAATAAAATGAAAACATTTGATGGAAAAGAAAAACACTCAATTCAAAATAACTCTGAATTTGAACTTCAAAACATTTACACTTTCATTTTCTTGAATAGACTTTGGGAGTTTCACCAACAGCTTGAACACAGACACACACAAATTATACAAGAATGTTACATCATTCATGGTATAGAATAAAAATTCCTACATGAAACAGTGTAATGAAACTTTGCAAGTGGAACTGTTATACTCATCAAGAGATTTTAATAGTAACTGGCTTAACAAAACAGGAAGTAAGTAAAGTTTTAAACACTCAACTTATAGTAATGTTACTCTATTTAATACTTTATAAAAATTATAACACCACAAAATTACATTATAAAAGCCATAAACAATAATATGATGAAAAAATATGTTTAAACCAACATATTCAGCCAATAATAAAATGACAGAACTCAATCTGTATTATGAAAAGTTTATTCTATATTTACAAATCAGATCAAATACTTGCTTCTCCTCTTTAAGCGAAAAAAACAAGAAAGAAATTCAATACAAACATGAAGCTGCTAGAAAAAGATCTAACAGAAACATAGAAAGAGAAATCACAACATTCTTTCGAAATTCCAAAATTCCAAATTTTGTCAAACTACTAGTTTTTTTAGCAAAAATATCAAAACATTCTAACTACTGATGATTTTGGTTGTTAAGACAAGGCAAAAATCTTTAAATATTTATATTATTTAAATGTTTATTTCCATGTACTCAGTATATACATTTTTTAAAAGTTATTACTGTGCTTCATTACAATTTTGGTCTGTTTTTATACTGATTTCAAAAATATTCATACAACCAAGAAAAAGACACTCTCATCAGTCTACTACTAGTTTCAGACCTGAAAAAAATGTCTATCTATCTATTGCATATCACTCTCTGGGGCACTAGAGTTTATTGTAGAATTACATATGTGAACCTGTTTTCTCAGCAAATGAAGTGAAAATTACTTAATAAAGACTATACTTTAAATGGTAGATAATATAAAGTAATCTGGTGATCTAGGTTTCAGATATTAATACTGATAATCAAGTTTGTACGTTTGTTATAATTAAAGGTTAGCCTAATACTATTATTGTAATATATTATGGCTACCAAATTAATTTTTTTCTAATATTTTGCATTACTACACTAACTTTTAAGTCTATGTATCAATCAAGTTCATTTTGTGTATTATTTGAGAAAAACCTGCAAGATCTCAACAAAAAACTGACAACAAGTTTTGTTTACACATTGAAGTTTGTAATCTTTGCGTATCAGAAATAGGAATAATGAGGACTAAAATAACTTGAATTTTGTGCAAAGCTACACGAGGACTATCTGTGCTAGCCATCCCTAATTTAGCAGTGAAAGACTAGAGAGAAGGCAACTAGTCATCACCATCCACCGCCAACTCTTGGGCTACTCTTTTACCAATGAATAGTGGGATTGACCATCAGCTGAAAGAGAAATCATGTTTGGTGGGATGGGGATTCGAACCCACAACCCTCATACTGTGAGTCAAGTGCCCTAACCACCTGGCCATGGCAGGCCAAGCTGTAAGTGGAAGACATAACATGACATCAGATTAGCTATCACTACTCTAAATATCTATTGTTCTTTTAGTTATACTTCGTTCACATTGTTTAATTTTATTCCATTATCTTGATTTATCTATTAAAAACTGTATCATTTTTTAGTGCAAACTGGTATAATTTTTGATGAATTATAGATCCCTAATAATGACAGATGTGTATCCAAATATGTTGGGATATTCAATATATTACCAATCATTGCTGTGGTCTTCCTGTTCTTCATTAAACTTCAAATAATATAAACTTTAGAAAGGACAATGCACATACTAAAACTCTATAAATACTATGCTTTACTCTAAAACTATTAAAGTAGGAATGTATTATTGTATTAAAGACAATCTTGAAACAACATTCACAAAACATTTGACTTACCTGAACTTCAAAACAACGTAAAAATCCATCATGACTGCTAGAATATAAGTACGTGGCCACATTTTTCTTGTCTTCAACATGTAAGGCACTTACAAGTTTCTTGTGGTTTTTATATGTGGTCTTGTGTTCTAGTGTCTGTTGGGAACAAAATAAATAAACTATAATAACTAATGTTCACAGAATATTAAAACAAGTTCTACAATCTGTTAATGTTATTACTTACACACAATTAGTGAATTCAAAATGTTTTTCAATTTATATTTTTGGTTTATTACATAAATTCAATGAACTAACTACTGGCTAATTGTGCAAGCCCAATGGATACACTGCTTTTACAGTTAACATCTCTTTCATATTGTCCCTTTTTGGTTTTAGTTTTTACATAAAAAGTTTCTTTATAATCTAATTACCTATGTTGTGGATAACAATGATCTTTTTATTTCTTACTAAATGCCAAACTTACAGTAAACTGAAAACCTGGTTTAGACATTTTACTATTATATATTTCTATTCAATTCTATTTTTGTACATATTAACATAATTTATTTGCACACTGTTTACAATGATTAAATAAACTTCTGACCTGGAGGTCAAATCTTTTAGCTGTTGTGTCTGATGAGGCAGAGTATAGGTATCCTTGATGGATCTAATAAACAAAACAGTAGTCACTGACAGTAGTTCAACTTGTACAGCAAAGCTTGCTAAGTTGCACATATACTATCGTGTGAAGCCCTAACGATTTTTTAGTCATACATGAAAACTGTTGGAAAACGAATGAAAGTTATTATAACTTAATAACATTTAAGAGCATTATTCAAGCTGAGAAAATAAAACAAGAACAATTACAATATTAGAGTTAGAAACCTGAAACGATGAAACAAAATTTGTAATTTTTATACTGCAAAAGTTAAAATTTTTTACACCAAAAATGTATTTCTGATAAGTATCTCTCACCCAAAGCTATCTTGATCCTGGACTTCCCTCTAAGCATTGCTAAAAGTTTTTGCTAATAGCACACCAGTCTTTTTACCCCATCAGTTTCGATCCATTTCAGAACATGTGCTGATCATGTGACTACCTTCCACCAATCATACTGCACCCTCCATACTAGTGCAACTAGCTCCCTCTACTATTCT